CCCATTCCTGGGAAGCACTATGGTAGGGGGTTCAAATGATGTAGGAGTGACTGAGTAAGGTGGAAGTCAAACTGTTCCTCAGTAGCGCAGGGGCAAAACTTTAAGCAGGCCTACTGTGTGCCATGTGCCCCACACTTGTTTAATACTTTTCAGTACAGTCAAGCATACATCACACATTTGCCACTTTTAGCTATGTCAAGTGTTCTGTTCAGTGGCATTAATTATACCCACATTATTGTGGAAATTGCCATCACTATTCATTTCCATAACTTTTTCATCATCTCTAACTACATAAATTCATTATCTTCATCCACTAAAAGAAATTTTCCCATTTCCCTCCTCTTTGTACTTTCTAGTCACCATATTTTCATCCCTAGCTCTGGATTTTCCCTGTCTAGGTACTTTGTCTATATGGAACTACACAATATGGAGAGAGAGAGAGAGAGAGAGAGAGAGAGAGAGAGAGAGAAGAGAGAGAGAGAGAATGGATTATTTCACTTAGCTTGATATCCTCGAGGTTTGACCACATCATGAGCACATGAGAATGTTACTTCCTTCTAGAGTTGACAAATGTTCCACTGTTCCACTGTCTGGATGTCATGAATCTTGTCTATCCATTCATTCCTTGATGGACATCTGGGCTCTTTCTATGTTTGAAGGCTACAGAATTTGTGGCTACCTGTTAATTACAGTGAACAAGGAGCAAGACTTGGGAGGAATTAGCCAGAAAAGGAAGAAGTCCGGGATTTAGAAGAGTGTCATCCATCATTTAAAAAAAAAAAAAAAAAAACATGGAAAATGAAGTCTGTTGAAGATGTGAGTGGCTTGAGATTCAGAGAACTCAAGCCTTTTAACTTTCAGGCTCCTTTTCCTTCTATTATCCATGCCCACCCCCGAAGCAGCATGGGTACTGCTAAGTTCCACAATAGGCAGGAACAAGGACAGAGCTGGGAGAACACAGCCTAGAAATGAGACAGAGGGATCGCCACAATATAATGCTGAAGTGGGGTGGAAATCAGTTGAGGAAGAGACTAATTCCAAGTGAGCCTGCCAAACTGTCCTTAGGCCACCTCTCTCTGTCACATTTTGTCATCTCTGTTGGAGGTGGCAAACTGAAGCAGTGGGGAAAGAATGCTCAACAAGCTCTCCTTTCCTTGCAAGAAACAAGCTCAGCACCAGGGAGTGGCTCACAGCTGCAATCCCAGCACCAAGGCAGAGCAGAAGGAATATAAATCCAAGGCCAGCCAGGGCTACTTAACAAGTATGGGGACAGTTTCGGCAAGTCTCAAAACAATCAAACAAATTACCAGGAAATAGCAACAAAAGAGTCAAAGTTCACAGATGTGCTAGGGCTTGCTATTTGTCATTGCTGTTTTTCTTTTTCACAACTCTTTTGCTTCCTTTAGAAAATATATCTTAGCCTAGTGTAGTGGCACACTGTGCCTTTAATTCCAGCATTCAAGAGGCAGAGGCAGGCAGATCTTTGAGAGTTTGAGGCTAGTTTGTTTTGCACGGTGAGTTCCAAGCAGTCAGAGCTATGTAGAAAGACCTGTTTCTGTGGTAGGGGTTCAATGTCATAGGAGTGACTGATATGGTGAAAACCAGACTGTTTCTCAGTAGGGGTAGGGGAATAGCACTTGGATGATTAGCTGCTGGCTAAATATTTCCAACTTGGGTGCAGGGGTTTGGGATAGCAGAAGAAATGCCTTCACAGCTGCCCTGCTCCTCTTCCCCTTTTACCATAGGTCAAGGGCAGCCAGTGGACACTGTTAATGAGGCCATCTTCCTTTCTTAACCTTTGATGGTGGACACTGGACAAAATAGACTTCGCTAACATTTGTCTCCCTCACAATTGTATTGGTCTCCTCTTCATATACAGTTATGCTTTTGCTCTTGTAGAATACTCAAAGCACCACAAGATCAAGACTTTCAGAATTTTCTGGACACTTACTGAAAGGATTTGGGGGTCAGAGTACCCCAACTTCCTTAATATCAGTTATCCTCTATGAGGGAGGACAGCTTTGTATCAAGATCTTGGAGGATCTGAGTTAGGGCAACGGCAATTTATTTCCTTAGAATATTTTCTACGTTGCTTCCAGATATAGACGTACAGACATGTGTCACTCTGGGACCGCAGTATTCTAAAAAATGCATTGTTGAGTGATTTTGTCCTTATGTGAATGTCACAGAGTATACTTACACAGACTAAGAAGGCTACCACATTGCTATTCAATACAGATTACCAGTGTAACAAAGTCAACAGGTTTAGTTGAACTGCTAAGAGAAAGCCATTGAGGGAGCTAAGGAACAAACAGAACTAATTAGCAGAACTAATGCTTTATTCCGTTATCTTCCCAGTGGTTCTCAACCTTGCTGATGCTGCAACCCTTTCTTACTGTTATGTTGTAGTGACCCACAACTATAACATTGCTTTAGCTGCTGCTTCATAACTGTAAATATGTGTTTTCTGATGATCTTAAGCCACCCCTGTGAAAGGGTCAGTTGACCCAAGGTGTGGCGACCTACAGGTTGAGAACCACTGCTCTAAATATTCCATTGTTCAAACAAAGAATTCTTGTTTAACTTTACCGGAAAGTGAGTAGTACGGCCAAATTAAAAAATACTACAGTGCTGAAGGCAGGAATGTCAGCATAGCTGCCTGAGACTGAGCACAGAAAAATGAGAGTTTCAACTTGTTGCACTGACATTTCATACTAAGGGAAAATATTAAGAGTACCTAAATATTTTTTAAATGCAATGCTGAGGCAATTTCTTAACATATAGATAGTTGTCGCACCAAGCAATAACAACCAAGGAACTAGAATTCGAAGCTTGACACTACTCTTTTTTTTTCCGCATTCCATCATTACTGGAGTACAAGTTTCCGCTGAGTTTTAAACTCTCTGAGCTTAAAATAAGCGTTTCTCCCGGTTGGCATGGACCATCAAACTTCAGCCCAGAAATTTATTTTATGAGCTAAGAAATTTTATGAGCTAAGAAATTTATTTTGTCATTGCTAAGAAGTTTATAATTTTGATAAAACCTGTATCTTAAAACTTGCATCAAGTTATATATAATTTCTTATAAACTTGTAACCGAGCACTCCAAAAAGAAAAATACAGCAATATATAAATATTGCTTAGACGACCCACAATGTCTAAGGCTACTGGTTTGTTGGTTTCCTGTGTCCACTAGCGTGTATGCTGAAAGGGTGATTGTCCTCTGACCAGACGACACTGCCAAGATCCTAGAAACTGGGAACAATGGTGAGTAGGCAGCTGCGATGGGCTGGAGTTGGATCAGGCAGCCACAGGGGAGGTCTGCAACCCACAGTACTGAGGGACTAAGGGCAGGAATCCCTAGTCCTCATTTTGCATAAGGAAGGAAGCCACCACACTCGACCAGACTGGGAGGTACGGCAGCAGAGGGAAGAGTCGCACAGAAAACGGAAAGCAATTTCAGTTTGGCAGCAACCCCAGGACCAAACCTGGGGTAAAATACCCAGAAGATAGAGCATTAAGCGGAGTTTGTAAAGCTAATAATTTTAGGAGAAGGGACTTTATCCCGAGGGCCACAGGAATTTCTTTAAAAGATTTAAAACGGGAGGGAAGTGATTGTATTAAAATGAATGTATCCATTTAGTACATTGTAGGGGTGAGGAAGGGGTAGAGGCCAGGCAGGGCGCAGTGGGCAGGTA